ATTATTGATAATATCATTTTATAGATATTTTAAAGGAAATTTTTTTTTTACGAATGATATCAACAATTTTTTATTATTTTAAAATTGTATTTATAGTAAATATACATATAAGAGATTGATCAATGCGCCATCTGTAAACGAGCGGGAAAGAAAAGTGTTTGAAGGCCGCCGGCCTGCCGGCCGGGCCGAGTAACTCGGGTCTCGAGCGAATCAGTGTGCGAGTCTCTGCCATTTGCGCGTCGGTACGCGGCTACGCGGCAGTAGTGATACCAGAATTCTACGTCTGCTTACCGGTGCGTAGAAAACGCAAGCCTTATTAAGTGCGTTTTGTATCTAAGTGCTTTATCGATCACACGATTAAATTAATCAACATGGCGGATACAGAAACTAAGTAAGTATTACAGATTTTTTTTATTGATCTATTGTAAGAAAATCACACATATTTTCATCGAATGCTTTTGTTATATTTCTTTACCGAATACAGTAACAATGGATCAACAATATAATCGTTTCATAATCTTCATTATTCATCTGTTTTAAACTCAAATTGAAACCAATATTCTTGTTTTGATAATTTTATTTGCATCATAGTTGATTGTATACTTTTGAAAGCGTACGTAGTACTTATGTATAACCACGAGAAAGGGACAACGGAGAGGGGATACTCTCTCTCTACATGATATTCTCAGCTTGATTTGTAAGGCGCGTTACGTTCTCAGGATTACCTGCTTTTACCATGACATGTGCTCTACTTGCAGAGCCGCTTTTCTGGCGGCATCGTTTACCTTTTATTTTTCCCCACTTGTAGCTTCAACTATATGAGAGTAACCAACTACAATATGCATTTATTTGTTATTAATATTTATTTTTCATGAATATTTCAATCATGATATTTCATTATTATTTATTTAGTATTAAAACAATTTTTATTTATATAATTTTTAATATTTTTATAAATGTAACGAATAAATATAACTGCAACTCAGAATGTTTTATAATATAAAATTGTAATTTTTTAATGTTAACAATAATTTGAACATTTTTACATAAACAAGGGTGATTTTGATTATTCATACATAAAAAATAGTAGAAATATTTTATGGATGATTGTACACGCATCTTAAAAAGAAAATGGACAACGTATCGATCTGCCCTCTCTTACCGACTAAACGTCGAAAATACTGGTATTTTACTTTTCACTTCACATTTTTAAGACAAAATATATAATGTTTGTAATAATAAACATCGGTGCTATTTAGGTTTATTTAAGTTCCAACTCTATAGGAACAAATGTATATGTAACATTGATGTATATATTACGGTCCACGAACATCCACGATTTGCCGCGCCGAAACAATCTGTATGTGTGCGTACATGTACGTGTGTTCTGTTAAAAGGAGTGGGTTGAGAGAGAAGGGAGAGACGAAAGCAGGATAATATTAACATCGGTAGGTGCCGCTACGGTTGGCGTCCTATCTCTATTTCTTTCCCTTGCCGCTCCATCTTTGTCTGTAGCTGTTTAATCATAGTAAAGAAAAAATATGATAGAGATAGAACTTCATTTTAAATATATCATGTTATTTAACTTTTTTTTGTATTTTTTTTTTTTTTTT